CTTTTTGTGTTCATTATATATTCTGGATGTTAAACCTCTCTCAGACGTGTCACTGGTGAAGATTTTCTCCCATTCTGTGGGTTTTCTCTTCTCTTCCCTGGTTGCCTCCTTTGATGTACAGAACATTGTTAGTTTAAAGAGGTCCCATTTGTTGATTCTTTACCTTATTTCCTGAGCAATTGATGTCCAGTTTAGAAAATCACTTTCTACACCTATATCTTATAAGTTATTGCCAATGTTTTCTTCTAGCAGTTTCACAGTTTCAGGCTTCACATTGAGGTCTTTGATCCATTTAGAGTTGACCTTTGTGCAAGGTGAAAGATAGGAGTTTAGTTTCATTCTTCTACAGGTGGAGATCGAGTTTTGCCAGCACCATTTGCTGAACATGCTGTCTTTCCCCCAGTTAATGTTCTTGGCCCCTTTGTCAAATATCAGGTGGCTGAAATAGAAAATAGAAAATAACAGAAATCCTAACTAAAGCATAATTTTATTTTAAAAAAATCAAAAATAGTTTTAGACTTTGCCCTCGTTTCCTTGTCCGCTTCACATTAGTAAATGGTGAGTGGAAAAGAGTTTCAGTATACATAATTCAATTGTGGTAAACTTTCCAGTTTGTTAGAAAAAGGAAGACAGAGCCAAGCTATAAGATAGATTTTCAAGTGAGACTACAGTATTACTCTAGCCTAAATAATAAATGGAATAAAATGAAATCTAAGCTTCAAATTTAAGAACTTGTCCTTCATAATTTCTGTTCAGCTTCTTCACTTTTTAAGTGGTTTCATATGATCATAACCTTTGACCTTTTATAGGAGCGGGATCGTTATGCTTACAAGATTCATCTTCCAGAAACAGTAGAACAACTGAGGAAATTCAATGCACGGAGGAAACTGAAGGTAAATTAAAGAAACCACTAAAAAACCAAGTAGATGTAGTTGGTGGTAATGTTTTTATTCTGTTTTGACTCCCAATGCATCGTAGAAATGGCCATTGTTTTATTACGGCTAAGTTATTTGTTACAGCTAAAAATTGTCACCATTTCAGTAAGTTCTTTTGGTTTTTTTAATCCTTTAAGTTAATATTTCAGTATGAATCAAAACAAATTTTAATAACTGGAAGATATATTAAATTTTAGATTTTTTGTCTTTAAAATTCATAGCTGAGATATGGTTAGGTTATTGTCCATTATTATTGCATATAAATCTAAGCTATGTTTTCTCAAATTTAAATATTTTGACAAAAAATGTAATGTGGTGACACACACTATAATCCCAGCACTCAGAAGCCTGCAGCAGGAGGATCTTGATAATGAGGCCAACTGGATCTACATAGTAAGATCCTGCCTCAAAAAATTAAAATAATGATACCAATAATAAAATTTTTTTAAATTGAAATGTGACTTTAATTCAGTGGAAACTACATTGGATCTAGGATTCAACAATCATCATAAAGCAATAAATAAAATCCCCACTACCATGATCCACTAGAAAATATTTTCAGATCACCTTTCCTGCCTTCCTTTGTTCTTCCTAGGTATCTTTCTCTCCACTTTCCCTATCCTCTATCTACCTCAAAAAAAAATCAACATGATAATTACCCCTCTTGGGGAGCCAATTGAGTTCAGGAGGCAGCATTAAGCAGTGGAGGTTTTCCAGCACTGGAAGAAAATGCTGTAGGACAGCAACACCCCGCCACAGAGCAATCCACAGATGATTCTGTATTTGGCTCCCTCGTGGTACTGAAAATATTAGCTGTGTTCTTTAAATGGCTGTCTGGATAATAATCCTCCTTAGTCATGTGACTCCTGCCAATTATAAAACCTTTTCTTGAGTATTTTCAGATGTCAAAAATTATATCATTACTTTATTCTTCACTCCTTGGAGTTGATGAGTGATTTTATACTACTATAGATTTTATACGAATTTTTTAGAAAACTTGCAGGTTATAATATTACCATATAAAGCTGAAATGTCCAAGATGGCATCTACTTTTAAATTTAAACTAATTAAAATTTTTAAAAAGGGCTGGAGAGATGGCTCAGCGGTTAAGAACACTGAAGGTTCTTGCAGAAGACTCAGGTTCAAATTCCAGCATCCACATGGCAGCTAACAACTGCAGTTCCAAGGGATCCAACGCCCTCTTCTGACCTCCATGGGCATTACACGACACAGGTGCACTTACATACATGCAGGCAATACACACGTACATATAAAATAAAAATAATAAATAAAATATTTTTTTAATTAAAAAAAAATATCCAGTGTCAATTCCCCATCAGTTTCAATTCACACTAGCATGTTTCAAGTGCACAGGCTGCTAGTAGCTACCATATTGGGCAACACAGATACAGAACTTTCCCATCTTTGCAGAACATTCTATTGGATGGTAAATGCAAGTATAGAAGAAGGCATATTTTCACATAGTTAATAATGAGCATTCCCATTGAAACTTTTCTCATAATCGTTTTTGTTGTCAGTTCAAACTGACTCTTTGCTATTTGTTTTTTTAAAATCCTTGACAAAAATTATTATTAATGATATTCTATTTTTGAGATAGTAGCCAAAGTAGTTTCTTAAGGCTTTTATTTCTTTGCCTTGATATCTACCTAAACTGGTATAGCCTACAAAAGAAAAAATATCATTCAGAGTCAAATTTGGTCAGTTGTTTTTGCAGTTTCCTGTCCAAAGAAACTATGTTTGTACTTCATTAACTCTTCCCTAAGTCTTTTCAACTCTTGGCTCTGCTTTGGCCTCATGTGACATTACACCATGCAAGCTTGAACCTTCCATTGACCAAATACAGACTTTTCATCAAAGGGCTCAGACTTGGGCTCACTCGTCACAGGAGACATGCTGTTCTCCCAGTGTCATAGAATAAGACTTGGTCCAAAAATAGCCGAACTGGTGACTAAGATTCATCTGAACAGGGCCAAACTATCACAGCAGATAGGGGTCATGTGGACTTACCACATCCCTTTGCAGGGCTGTTTAAAGTTGCAAGACATGCCAAGCAACCTAGAATTAGGAACATCAGCTGGGTCATTATGGACTTGTTTTCATCTTCTGGTAAGACTACATTCCAGGGAGTAGTCACCCACCTGGTTAACACATGCCACACCTGCCCTCCTTAAGGAGCTAATTCTCTGCATAGTGCCTCTCCTGTGATCTTCTAGAACACAGGCTGTAACTTCCCTGGCTTCCAGAACCCACCATGCAGCCTATTTTCACAAGTACCTACTCATCATTAAACCCAAATACTGATTCAGAGCTTCTCAAATGCTGCAACAGCCTAATTTTTTGGACTACCTTAGAAGTAATTAAAAAGGAAGTTCACTGAAGCTAGCAGATTACTTTTGTTGCTTAGTTGTAGATGTTAAATTTTGATTATGGCTAGCCGGAAGAAAGAGAAGGAACATAGCAGTACAGCAAGGAGTTGCTCTCAAGCTATGGTGCTTGACTGAGCCCTGCTTCTGACCCTTCCTCATTGGAAACCTTAAGCAAATTGTTTAAACTCTTTGTGCCTCCATTTTCTTTATCTATAAAATATGCATAATGATAACTGCTAATTCTCAGGGTTGTCAGGATTCAATGAGTTTATGTTACTGCAGTTTAGAACCATACCAGGCAGTGGTAAGTGCTCCATAGATGTTATTTGCTGTGAACTTCATGATTATTGTTAATGCATTATTATGATTTTAATGTTAATACAATGGACATTTAAGAGGAAATTTAAAAATGATTCTATTCAGGATAGCATCAAAAGGAATGAAATGTTTAGGAACAAATCCAACAAAAAGTAAAAAACCTGTAAACTAAGACATTAAAGATATAACTAAGTGAATAGATATTCAATGTTCATGGATTTGAAGACCATGTTATGTAGACTGTGAGAAAAATCTGTACTCTGAGGGTGTGGATTCTTTAAGTGGTGAATTAGTTACTTTCCCATTGCTGCTGACAGAAGCAACATAGGAAAGGTTTATTTTGGCTCACAGGTCAAATATATAGTCCATCATGACAAGGAAGTCATGGCAGCAAGAGCACAAAGAGGCTGGTCATGTTACATTCAGTCCTGGACTGAATGCAGCCCATGGAATGGTACTGGCCATTATTAGGGGGGTCTTCCCTCTTCACTTACTCCCTTGAGAAACACTTTCATAGAGTCACCCAGAGTTGTGTCTCTTTGGTGATTCCAAGTCCAGCCAAGTTGACAGTGAAAATTAACCATCACAAGGGGTTATACTGCACTCTAATCTGGGCATCAGCTATTGAAAGAGTTATAAGCAAAGGGATGTCTGTTGGTATGTGAGCTTGTCAATCTAGAGACAAGACTCAGCGGAAAATCTGTCCAAAAAAGTTGTTCCCTTTGTGTTATGAATTTTTGTTGCCCTAGTAAGCACATTTATCTATAAGAAAGCATAGCAAAAATTCTCTTTAAGTAGAAGCAATACTCTATATTGTAGTTAGTTACTGTAGTCAGTTTAGGAAATAATGAGTTGAGTCAAGCATGGTGACACACACCTGTAATCCCAACACTTAGGAGACAGAGGCAAGAGGATTTCAAGTTCAAGGCCAACCTGAGATACACAGCCACACCCTGTTTCAACACACACCCCTATAGAAGGAAATGGTGAATTGAAACTAAGTAATTCAATTAAGAGGATAAAGCCACTGTGTTACTTTTCTGTTGCTGTGATAAAACACTGTAATCAAGGGAACTTAGAAAAGGAAGTGTTTATTTGAGTTTACTGTTCAGAAGGTTGAGAGTCCATAATGGTGGAGGAGGCACAGCAGCAAAGCTGGTGAAACAGAAAGCCAAGCAATCACATCTTCAAGCAGGCACAGAAAGCAGAGAGCCAGACTGGAAATGGGTATGGCTATATACTCTCAAAGGCCACCCCCAGTGATGAGCTTCCTCCAGCATGGCTGTAGTTCCTAAAGGTTCCATGACCCTCCCCAAACAGCAACAGTAACTGGGAACCAAGTGTTCAAATACTTGGAGCCTGTGGGGGATCACTCTCATTCAAACCACCAGAGCCCCTTAACTCCTATATGTGTGTGTGTGTGTGTGTGTGTGTGTGTTTATTTATATACAGGAGGGAGTTCTCCTTTGCTTTTATATATATATAAGCAAAGGAGAACTCCCTCCTGTAGAAGCACTCATGAATTCACAGAAGCTATGATTGCCTATACGCTCTGTACAAGACTGGGCCCTAAACATTCAGTCATATATGGAGGAGGGGTTCGTGGGGCCCTACCCAAACCCACTCAGTTGAGGGCTGTTGGGCAGAGAACTCATTGTCTTCACTGTTATAGCCACTGGTGAGTTACCTACACTCCAGTGGACAGCTCCATACCCATGCTCTTGAGTGGGCCCTGGTTAAGCCCAGTAGGGTCACAAAGTCAAACAAAAACAAATAAAAAACACATAAAAGTGGGATGGGGACTTACTGGGTCTGGCAGGGGTACAATGGGGATAAGAGAGGGTGGGGTGTGAGTGTCACCAGAATGTATTATATACATGTATGAAATTGTCAAGTAAGAAATGAATTTGACTTTTAGCCAAGAAACTGGCTATTTTCTTTGGGCTCTTTTTTTAAATTTTTAGTAACCACATGATTAGAAGAAGCATTTCACTACACCTTTAACATATTCAGTAACACACTCCAGTGCAAGAGTCCATCTCTTTCACAAGTGGCTGTAAGTTTCTAGGTTCACAGTTGAATTAACACAGTTATACAATATTGAACTCAGTATAAGCCCTGTAGGACATAAATATATTGTTCCTTGCAGAAAGACTCTTCTTACACTAACTGCCTAGACAATGCCTACGTCCTTGGGCCTCTTAGCAACATACTCTGTTCCAAAGGCCAAAAATGTCAAAAGTATTTGGGAGCTCTTAACTAATCCTTAAAAGATTTTAGGGTTACCTCTTCAGAGGGAGGAATGTTAGAGTAGCATCGAAAATGTTGAAAGTATTTGGGAGCTCTTACTTAATCCTTAAAAGATGTTAGGGCTACTTCTTTAGAGGGGGGAATGTTAGACTAGCAAAAAGCCCCATAAAAAAGAAGAAGAAAGAGTACATGAAGTTATCAAAAAAAAATGATGGGGAGATATGGGAGGTGTTGGAGGGGAGGGAGTGGGCATGAATTTGATCAAAGCACCTTATATGCTTATATGCCTGTATGAAATTCTCAATAAATTATTAAAAAATAAAAATAAATGAATTTGAAAGAAAGGAAGAGGGGAAGGAGGATTTTTTTTAATGTAAAGGAGTTCAAATTTGTTTTAAGATCAATCTCTCTTTCTAGCCAACATCTCTTACAGATTTTACTTTCTGAATAATCCTTAAGATAAATAACTGTTTAGGTAACTTCTTAAATTTGTGCATATGTTTTAATAGTATGCTTTTTCATCTCTTTGCTTTAGGGTGCAGTACTAGCCGCTGTGTCAAGTCACAAATTCAACTCCTTCTATGGGGACCCCCCAGAAGAGTTACCAGATTTCTCTGAAGACCCTACCTCCTCAGGTAATTAATTCCATTCACCTGAGTGGAATCACTTGGCAACTACAACTTTTCTCTTCCATTTTGACTAAACTTTCTATGAGTTTAATCAAGTGTGTAATAGAGTCTAAGGAAGTTTGCCATCAGCCAAATCCTACCTACATGTATCTGGTTTCTCTTGATTTGAATACTAGAGCTGCCCTCCCCTACTGCTCCAAACCAACATTTTACCATTTTCTCCTTACTTCAGTCAAACTTACTCCCATTTGTCCACTCCAAACTCAGCAATACATTTTGAAGTCTTTTTGGATCTTTGTCCCTCAGCAAAAATTTCTAATGTCAACCATAGCACTATTCGAAATTAAGTCTTTCCATATTAAAGCTGTATTGTAAGCTTTATACAATGATCATGTTCTCTCTATGCAAAGTCCCTAACTCATGTATAAAAGTACTCAAGGAGGAAGAACATAGAGGCTACCTGTTTTGATGAATTGTGTATAAGTACTCCTGAAAAAAAAACTGCTGGTGTTCACACACTCGTTCTAGAAAATGCACACACTTCTATCTTAACCAGTGAGGTGTTCCCCAAAAATCATTTACAAAGAATCAGTAGGATCCATTTAGACATTGAATTCTTAAATTTTACTTATGTATTATATTATCATATGTCCTCTGGCCTCAGCTTTTCTTCCATTAGAAACAGTAGTTTTGATGTGGTTGACTTTGTGCCTCTGATTTGACTTCTATATTCTTGGAGTGGCTTCTTTGATGTTCATATACTAGCATTAGAATCAAGACTGAGGGTATGAGTTGTGTGGATCACAGTCAGCAATATAAGAAGAATGCTTTTTCCCTGGTGGGACCAGAAATAGTTAACAGTGCTCATACTTCTGCCTTCTTCATGCGTATATATGCACATACAAACTCAAAACTTCTTGCCAGTAAGTATGCGTTTGTACCATATGCAAAATGACAGGACTGAGTTTCCCACTCCCACAGGTGTGTGGTTCCTCCTTTTGACTTTTACCAATTGGGATATGAATCTTCCTCTTTTCAGTGAAGGTGATTTCCAAAAACATTCAGAATCTTAGAGAAGTGACTCTGGGGAGAAAAGCATGCTGTCTTCCTCTTGTTCTCCCTTGTCACTGTCACAGCCCTTATGACACACAGGCCAGGACATGGTTGTTTTCTTTCCATTTGCTTTCTATTATTTCATCTCTTTTTTTCCCCTTCAAGTATGTTTTGTTCCCTTCCCCTGTACCTTTTTTGAACTTGCACATCTGTCTTCAGGCTTTTTACACAGATTATAGATGACCCTATTTAGGGAGAGTGTATCCAGGAATCGTTTTTATTTCATATTTGTGAGTCACAGCTTGTATTATACTTAGGATAAATTATATCTGAGATTTGAGGTCAATGTCTGTACTCTTTTCTGGGAAGAATTGGAATCTTTACAGAAAGAAAATATCTATATGTAGAAACATGTTTATTTTTCTGTTAAATATATTTATTACCCATTTCCTCCTTTTCAGTACAATCTTTAAATGATTTGGTTGAAAGTTTTAAATTCTATTACTTTGTTTTTAAACAAAAAAGAAACTTCTTCCACCATGCTCCAGGTAGCCTGTAAGCTCTCACACTACCAGTTTACAATTGAGCATTCCTTTGTGCCTTCCCTTTCCTGCAATCGTACCCTGTTACATTCTTTTCTTTAATTCTGGGATATTAATGATCTTATAAGCAGTGTATATTTTAATTTGATGTGTTAATTATCTGTCAAGGATTTTTCAGTGACACTGGGAACTACAAATAAAAAGTAGAATTGAAATGTGGTCTACATGTTGAATGCTAATCACTATCCTAAATGAAGAGGAAATTTTTATGTGTTCAGAAGTCAAAAACAAAGGAAATTTTTTTTTAAAATTATAATATTTTCCTAAGTTTCACATAGCAATCATGGGTCACTCATACATTCCTAAATTAATTTTTAATAATAAGCCATTTAAAGGAATGTATTCTATCATAATCAGCATTACTTATCAAATAGCCATCTTCTAACCCATGTCCTTTTCCATGACCAGCAGTAGTGGTTTATATGACTGGTTGCAGAAAGCCATTTATGTATTTTATCTGGACTCAAAGCTTTGTACTTTCATAAATTAAAATATCTGCATTTATTTTTTGTTATCTTCATTTCACTTTTAGTATTTTCATTAATTTTCAAACCTAAAGTCACTGTTTGTCTTGATGCTTGTTTATTTTAAATTCCT